TCTCTGCCTGTGGTTCTACCATACACCTTCACTGGTCTTTCTCACATGCAACACTTATGGTTTCGGAATTCCACGATTGATAAGCTCTCTACGCATGCCTTCTACCACTTAACTCATGTTACTTACTTGTACTTCCGTGATGTCGTCTTCAAGAGAATACAGAAGAAAGCGTTTGGTAAGCATCAAAATATCTACAAAGAAGGAAGGTATAGCTATGATCCTTGCTAACGATAGGGCGTGTGAAGGGCGTAAGAGCAGTCAGAACAGCCCTTCGCACCAATTGTTGCGGACTAAGGATGGTATCATAGGCCGCCCGGCAGCGCTGCGATCCATGCCCCGTCATACGACCGCGGAGATCGGCTATTTCCAGCCTGTTTTCCACTTTCTCCCGAAATTTCACTGTTCTTGGCTGCTTTTCTTGAGGTTAATTGTTCCTTGTCTTCACAGATTGTATTGATTTCTGCAAATTTTGCGAACAAATGAATGATTAAACAAACAATAAACAACTATTGAAAGAATAGCAAGAACACTTTAATACGACAACAAAAAAAGAATCCACGTCATAATATACATCATAATGGAAGACAACTTACCTTGAAAAAATAAGTAATACAGTGAAAATTAGGGAGAAAATGGCTAAATAGGCTGGAAACAGCTGATCGCCGCGGTCGTGACGCGCCGCAGCCGCGTCTGCGACCCTTTGACCGCCTAATCAACTGCCCGGATAACGAGGGTCGTTCGCAGGGATCATGACTGTAAGTGAAAGAGATGGAAATGGTCGAATGCGTCTGTGCACCTTTTTTTAGAACGTCTCACCTCTCCCATTTATTCAAGTGCTGGCTGCCTGCCTGTGGCTCAAGTGTTGTTGAAAACCCATTGAGACCTCTGTAGGGGTTCTTGGTAAATATCGTCGAACATGTGGACGCTTACGAGTCCCACCAACTCTTTCGGCTAAAGGTCGGACCGCAAATCAGACAGCTTTTTATAAAGCGAATGTGGGGTAACTAGAGCTGAATTAGAATATTTGAATATTTTTGGAGACGACGTGAACAGGACAACTCAGCAGGCGGTATCTCCCACTGAATTTTGTTCCAAAGGGCCTCGAAAATTTTCAAAAAAAGGCGGCACTATAAAAGCAACTGAGCGAGGATAGATGTCCGGAAGAGGAGAAGCTTTCTCGATTAGTTTTAATCGACTTTTAGTCGAAAATCAACCGTGTGGAATACTGCTAACCATTTGATTTCAGGCAAAATGTACAGTATCGGTCACCTGTTTTTGGGCGGATCAATCCGCATTGAGTGGAGTGATGGATTTCTATTCGCCGCATCAACGGTGGAGGAAGTGCTCTTGGAAGGCGTAATAGGACAATTGTGATGCCAGCCGCCTTTTCTGCGCCTTTGAACACTTCTGTTCAACTGGCGACAATTCGGAATTCCCGTATTCGAATGGATAGCCTTGGCGATGACACTACAATGCCTCAGACTCTGGTATACTCAACACAGTCACCTCACACGTCGCTTTTCATTTATTCGGTGAATGTGATCCACCCCGCCCCCCCCCCCCCCCCCCCTTGAATGCGCTGGCGCCGCGATGTGCTCCAATTCGAAAAGGTGCGTGCCTAATATTTGAATATTTGAATCTTAATACCTTGAGATGTTGTCGTTACGAAGGTCCTGTTGGAGTGAATTTGCGAGCTTTCTGTTCTTGCAAAAACAAGAATTTCGGCGTACACAAGCGTCAGATACGGTGGCTACTAACAAATTTTGACTATGTCCCAATGGAGATTTCACCTCCGGCAGAATGCGCCCCTTCCAGGTGAGAGGAGGTTAAGCGGTAGAGTTTCACCGCTCAAACGTGCACGGGAACAGGGCTGGAGGGTAGTGATACCCGGGTGATTCTCAATGTGCAGCACATGCGTCGATTCCAAGATCCCACAGCGAAACACACACTCAGCGGCAGAGTACAATCAAAGTGAGAGGACGCAGACAAATAGCACGTTTGACTATGGTCACGCCGCACCGTGGTAGCGTCGCCAGGCCAGCGGCGAATGATAGTAGCGTGTGACTACACCCGGGTATCTCACTAAACCATCCCAGCCTCATTCCGTGCAGTTTTTGACCAGAAAGTGGCACGTTACTGCTGCTGCGGACCCATTCACCGCACACAATGGCTAGGACCAGGATCTCCGGAGTGTGCAGTATGTCTTCGAAGCGTAACGAATGTGCGGTACAACCTGTGCTCCACAAAGCAAGGAGACTGTAGAGAAGTCAAGCGGAAGATTTTCCGGAGGTGGGTCTGTCAGTTCGACGCGGTTCGGCTTAGTGGGTGTAGGAAATAGTAAGTAGGTCGGGCCACCTTGCGCAGAACTATGATTTTTCTGTAACTAGAGTCATCACATTATACCATTTCGCAAGTCACGGAGTATACAGGTTCAGACGTCCCCAAGGTCAAACCGTGTTAGTTAACTGTACGAGAAAAACTAGTGGAAGTGCAAAATGCCCACCACCAGCCGCAACACGCCAACTGACCAAAGCGTTCACCGGACCCAACTCAGTGAACTCAGAGCAAATTTCTATCTTAGAGCCATGTCCCGAACTGATCAGCAGGGTAACCTTTGCATGTGAATCAAATGAATTTCGCTTTAGGTCACAATTTCCAACTGTTCAATCAATCGAGTTCAGCAAAGCCGAAGAACTTCGCTGATCCGTCACGATACGTCATTGGAATTCGTACAAACCACAATCGGCATGATAGACTCCTACGCGTTCGCTAACACCACGGCTCGAAGCCTCACTTTTACGGACTGTGTTGTCGGCAAGATGAAGCGCCTTGCAGCCGCGAATAGTCGCTTCGAGCGCGTAGAAATCGCTAACACTCGCATGGAATCCGTTGATGAAGGACTCTTTCAAAACTCGCATCTCAAGAGCCTCAGCATCAACTCATCGAACATCGCAGACGTGCTTCCGATGACCTTTCACCGATCCTTCATAAGCGATATGGAAATCGTTATGTCGGATATTGGTAGTCTCGACAAGCACGTCTTCAGAGGAGCAAGGATCCGTACACTCACTCTGCACAGTACAAACGTGAACAATCTGAGGGGAAAACCTTTTCTATCCGCTGAGGTGAGAGTTTTACGTGGGTTGACAGTGTGGTTGTTGGGCACGTAAATCATATCACTAAAATGTAGTGGGCACGATGGCTGGGGGCGGGCGGTTACTGCCAACGTGACCGGTGGAAGGGCTGCGGGAAGGCGATTGGCCACACCTCACTCAGCCCACCAATGACGTTGGCAGTAACCCAACCCCTACCCCCATCCATCGTGCCCACTGCGTTTAAGCATGCACAATTCGGTTTGGTGCCGCCCTTTGCAGGCTCCTACTGATCACAGCCGATGCTTCCTCTGGATACCTGTAAATTCCATAAAGCTGTGCAGAGGCAAGAGTTTGGCAAGAGCCGCCGGTTTCATTAAGGTGTGATAGTGACTAACAAAAGTAACGAAAGTGCAAGATGCCCTCCCAAGACGAACACTCAAAGTATTTTAATTCTCTCTGCAATTAGGAAAAAGAGGAGTAAAGCCTAAGAGGAGTAAATTTTGCATGAAGGCCAGCGCACTCCCTTGGGAAGTCGTATCTGACCGTTGCTTGGGGAGGTGGGGGAGGGGGGGGGAGTAAGCGTAGAGTCAATGAGCATCGTACTGCGCAAATGTGTCAACATCGCTCTTTTGTGGGTAGCGGAACTTGTACAGAACCCGGACTCGAGGGGAAACATCACAAAATAAATAATACAAAACAATTAATCAGCAGTATTGACTAGTAAGTACATTGCTCAGGGTGTAGCAGAGTGACTGGAGAAATGCCGGTGTCAGACGACCCCCAAATATTTCCTCCGGAGCGACCGCCCCCCCCCGAATTTTTGCCCTCCGGTACGACACCCCTCCTCTCATTATTTCTAAAATTTTCATAGGTTTTCCATCACTTTTCTCAATTTTCCGGGAATTTTCTGTTGTAGGACCATGGATACGGATCCTTCTGGATCCCATGAACACATTCTTCCTTGAACAAACACTACCTAGGAGCTGCACCTTCCCACCACCTCTGTATGGGGGCGTAATACATGGCGCTTCGGCGCTATACTAACTGCTTAGCATTTCTTTTCCACGAAGAGACGCCTTCTAGAAGCATACCAATCTCATTTTTGAGCAGTTCGAAATTGTCCCGAAAAAATACCCCAGCAAGTATAGTGGTTCTCGCTGCAGATGCGGGGGCGTGTCAGGCCTGGGTTGGCAAGGCGCCCATCCTTTTCCCTCCAACTCTATTTTCGCTTGCCCACTTCAATAACTGATGGAGAACGGATTGGCGCTGAGCCAAACCTAGCCCGCTTTCCCTGAAACGTCCCAGCGTCCGCAGCGAAGACAGCACCAAATCTAACGGTTGTGTGACAAGGCAATCGTAATATACCGCGCTCGTGGGCGTGACGCGGCACACGCGGGGGACGACTTGTCCCACTTGAGGCTTTGCCGTCCGTAGCCGCACGATACACCGCGCGCGGCGACGCGTCAAATTACGGTTGTCTTGTCCGTCCTCCATTTACACAACAAGGTAAATTTTACAATTTGTTTTTCAGATAAACACTTTGCATATCGTCAATTGCAAATTGTATGGCACTCCATCCCGTGAGTTCTTCTCAAGACTTACTGCCACCCATCTTCTGGTCATCAACACCACTCTCGATTGCGATCCAGACGACTGCGAAGTGAACTCGATGTTTCTGAGACCGCCTCGTCACGAGCTATTATGGACATTTGAGAGGAACTCTTGCAGAACTCCTCCTGGTAATACCACACACGGGAAAGTTCTCTGTGCTCAGCCAACAGTAATCCACCGAGCAGGACTCACTTGTCGTCGAAGTTGGGCAATAGCCGATTGTGTATGTACCAGGTCGTCCGCATCATTGCCTGATATCAATGCTTCTGTAGCCATCATTGGAGATTGTGAGCATTTGACGGTGGGGAACATAAGCACTCCTTTGCATGCGCTCTACCTTTTCCGAATTGCTCGGTGTGACGTTGTAAAGATGCCGGCAACCACTACCACGCTAAAGATCTTCCATTCGGAGGTAGCTTTTCACGAGGAAAGCAGTACTGAACAACCACATATCAGTTATGGTCCTATCACATGCAAGGGTTCATCGAGTCGTTCCAAAGGCTTTCGTTAACGTCACCATCGACGAGATGCTTGTGAGCAACTCATCGCTGACAAACTGGCATCCAGAATCCGTTAGCGGAACTAAAATCGCCTACGCAAATGTAGCTGATTCTAGAATCGGAACCGTAACATCTCTACTGGGTGCAGTGAGGCATTTACTCATAAGGAATAGCATACTATCCAGCACAAAAGGTCTTTCTGCCATCAGAGATGTTCACCTCAGCAATAATACAGTACTGTGTTGTTGTGAAGACGGAGTGGCGTCCTGTAAAAAGGATAGGAGCATGAATCAAAAATGCGATGAACAATTCCCATATTTTGTTTGTTACGATAGTAATTATGCAAATGATGTGGCAGCAGTATCATTTTTTGTTTGTTACTTTTTTGTGTTACTAACTATTAGCGTTACTGTTGAATAAATGATATAAGATTCTTGAAATGATATTTTGCTCGGTTACGTGTGAGTATAATTTCTGCGCATGGTCCTGTTGCGAGGCCCTGTGGGGCAGCGTTCAGACTTCGCGTCGACGAGATGTAATGCGCATCGAAGCGCTGACATTGCAACCGCTCTCTAATGCTACCGACGGGAACGCAGCTATAGACAGGTACCGATCGACCCCGGCCTCTAGCGCTTTGAGAGAGCGTGGACAGATATGGGGGTACGCGTTTGCCTGGTCACACAGTCTACGTGGTACCTCCTATTCTTCTACGCCGCTCTCTCGAAACACTAGCGGCTCGGTTAATCAATACCTCTCTGCGGCGTCGTTCCCCCTGAACGCAGTTGCAATGGCAGCACGTCGTAACGCGTCATCGTGGAGTCTGAGCGCTGCCTAAGGCAGTCACAATAGGTTAAAGTGGTACAAGAGTATCGAAATGTGTAAAAAAACCATGTGGCAAGAGGACTGGCCTTTTCAGGGCGAAGATTCTGCGGAATGGGTGAGCCATTCATCATGTGTCAAAAGGTGGAATATGTTAAAACTAATAACTCAAAAATGCCATACAGAACGAGAGAGTGCGGAGGAAAAGGAAAGTCGACGCGCATTAAGCATTTTCAGTGCGGAGAAAAAAGAAAGTCGACGCGCATAGGCATTTTTCAGACCGTTTTTATACTCCGCTGTCCGGTCGTATGGTTCGCCCGACTACGGCCGGAGGTGCTCCACCCCACTCGGTGGACTACCGCAACGTCAGGATTCAGAATGGCCCGCGTTCATACAGTGCAGGAAGGATACAATCGGTCGGGTGACCCTCGCGCGAGCGATCGGGAGTATGAACGCGCTCTCATACTGCGATCTTGCGAATTTGGCGAAATTAGGGCATCTGCGAAAAGGGTCCGGTCCGTAGCGATGAGAAGAGTCCGTGGGCCCGGGAGGGGGGCAAATTCATCCAATACGCAGGAACAGTTAGATACATATTGAACGGGGAACCGGCGAAGCGACCCCTCCCGCCCCCCCCCCCTTTCCTGTCTTTTCACGTGCAGAGTCAGACTCACACACATCTGGCTGTTATCGTGCTTACGCCAGAGCGACGACGTTTCTCCCAGTCTCGCTGATTCTCCGATTTGTCGGATCGTAGTCTGGGAACAATGCCTCAAAGGGATTGGGTTATAGTAGCCCTGGACGCTCGAAAGAACGAGGTGCAAAGTCAGTCACTCAAAAACGGTAGAAGTTGTATCTGTCGCCCCATCTCGAGAGCGTGGCCGCGTATTTCATCGATACGGAGTTTATATCCTGTGGGGTGTAGTTCAACCCATCCAGTGATGGCGTATAATAAGTCGTTGCGCAAATGGTGTCATGTGCGCGACATTCTCACCAGTACCCATCTGATTTTATGCGGAATGCAGCGGTGTACCAAGCCTGGGAATTTCTGCAAGCAACACAACAAGTCTCCCATTTTTTCTCAGTTCTGATTCCCTAACTCGGAATTTTCGTCTTGGGCATTAATTGATTGGAGGCGTCCTATTGTTCTTGAAGAAATTGCCGTAGCACATAACGAGCAATTCACTCTGCAAGTACAAGCTAGGATCCAAGTCAAGGTCTCACCTTTTCTGTTTAATAAGGTGTGTCTCTCGTAGCCACACAGTCGGAAACCTGTACAGTGAGAGCTAGATCCTTCAGAGAGATAGGAAGGGATCGTGTTTGGTTGCTGGAGTTTAGAGGTCGTGAGCAAAATGCTTCGGCTGTTGACTTTTCTTGGTTTTTCGTCTGGCTGCGAGGACAGCCAAATAAGTAAGTTGCAAAATAAGTAATAGGCGTAATTACGGTAGAGGATTGAGGTACGCAATTACACCCTTGGACAAAGTGCCCGCGTACAGCGCTTGCCGGCTTTTTCGTTTACTTTCTTCATGTTTACCGTGGATCAGCCATAAATGGAAAACCGTAGACTAGTGAGGCGCATCAGAAAGTCCATTTTTCCGCGGTATCTAGCCCAGATGAGCTTTTTCGCCGTTTGATATGAGGCATTTTAGAGGCGTTTCTAGTTCGAATGATTACCTGAGCGTTTCATTAACAGCTGAGCATCTTTCGATCCAGGAGATCTTGATTAGTTTCCAGAGAATGCTAATCTTGAGGGCTGACATCGAGACATCTTTCTGAACGACTTCTAGAACTTGCTACTTTTACATGGGAGTCACTCTACTGACGCCTAAACTTACTCCCAAAACGGGAGTTTTCCAGGACAGCTACTTTAGTTGGTAGTGGGACCATGCGTCCCTTCCACATCTTAAATTCACTTACATGTTTTCCCTGGAGATACCGCTTTTATCCGTCTGTTACTCGTTCCGGGTGTCGGATTAGGCGACAGTTCTCTCGCTTTCGTTACCCCTCCTAATTCCCGTCATCGAATCAAGTTGAAGGAGTTCAGTTCTAGTACTTTCAGTATGTCAGAGGAGTACGACACTGTCGCTCCGCCAGGAGCGAAAAAGATGAAAACAGACGAGTCATCGAGCGAGAAGAGGATATTATATGTTGTTCTCGAAGGTTGCAGCCTCGAATCAGCAAAGGTAATGGAACTAATTGGTTTGTCTTCTGTTTGCCTGATCAGCGACTCTGCCGCTCTTCCACAACTATAGTCTATTTCGCTGCGGACGACAGCGTCGCACGGAAGGGTTGGGGAGGCGCCAACCCGTTCTTTTTTCTTCCGGCAAGTGGCAGGGCTCATGTCTTCGTATCACTCGTCTTTATTTTCACTAAGCCACCCAAACAACTGGTGATGAATGGATCTGGCGGCGTACCAAACACAGCCGCGCGGACCAGTCATCTTTTTTTGCCTACTGAAACTACTTTTTTAGCATGTACATTCGCTTTCAATGTAGACACTGGTTGTCTGTGCGCTAAGGCTGAGCTTGTGAGAAAGGAATCACTTCTCTTCGCAAGCTCAGCCTTTGTCGAACGCCAAAGCCGTTGGCGCCTGAGAATGAATGTCATGTTGGTGGTCGGGACCCCTAATGACTTTCACAGGCAAATAAATTGAATTTGGATAGGACGTCTTGAGGTCAATCAGTGCGGTCTGGTGGTGCAGTTAGTCTTAGGCATTGTTCACAGTCTGCGACCCTGACGAAACGGCGGTTGGGAGAAAAGGAAAAATAGTCATCGATCGGAGAATCGCCAACCGCTAGTTTCGCCGAACCGCCGCGGTTCGGCGGTTGGGCGAAAAGCAATAGATGTGTATCGATTTCGCTGGCGAAAAACGCCGGCGATCGAGCTAGCGTTTCGTCGAAGGCGAAAAACGTCGCGGTTTGGCGAAACGCCCGTCGATTCGTATCAAAACCCTTTCGCCCAACCGCCAGACTCTTCGCCCAACCGCCAGTCGATACGTATCGAAAGCTTTTCGCCGAACCGCCGCGTTGAGAAACGCTGGACCGCAGACTGTGAACAATGCCTTATAAACCTTTATACTAACATACTCTAACATTCTTTCCAGTCACCCTCTAGGGTACGAATTATGAACATTTCATTGCGGAAAGTTCTCATTTTCGCAGGATATTTTGAGTTAGGAGGAAAAACACATTACTCAAAATAAACCAAACAGAGTGTCTGCCGCTTCCCAAGAAGGGATTGGTCATTGTCAAATGCTACATGATTTCAATACTTTTATTATAGGTAGGGAAGGACTATGCAATATTGTGTAGTGACAAACACGCAAACTTTTTGCGGAAGAATAAGAAAGACCCAGCGGATTATCGACCCGATATTCTACATCAGGTAGTTTTTATATCAGTTCTCGATTCAAGAGAATAGTATTTTAACGTGGAGTTGTTTGAATTCAGCATGGTTTTGGATGTGTACCTTTCATTTCGGCACCACTGTGACCTGATCACCATTTCTCCCCTCCTAAGTTCCATGCACTGAGCCTGTGATGGAACGTGTACCGCGGCAACAGGGTACTCTTTTTTAGCCCGCAGAGTCCTCTGATTTTTGGATGCGTTCCCTTTTTTGGCACTGAGGGGGGGGGTGACCACTCCACAGCGCTCGGGATACTCTTGCAGAGCAGCGTCCCTACGCGACTCCGACCGTGTGCTCTCTGAGTCTAAGCTTTGGTTAGGAGAAGCGATGCAAAGGTGTCGTGAGTGTGTTGTGGTCTTCTCAAATACCTTAGCGCTCCATTTTTGAAAAAAAATAGTTTTTTTTCTTGTTTTGTTGAGTCTGCGGTATCGTAAACAGGTATCCCCGTCCGTTTGGGAATGCCCCTTAACTGTATCACCTAGTTCTCAGCGGTTCTCCGTATACTTGCGGCGTATCGTATCTCGTATAAAGGGAGGGCGTGGATGCTGGAGGTAGTATATTACCGTTAGGTATGTTGCCGTTGTCTTTGCCTTTCCACGGTTCGCAAAAGCATATATAAGTTGTATATTATAGCTATTCGAACAGTGCTAAATACTTGTAGTGCACATAACAGTCTACAATGAGTCCTTATATTGCAGTGTTTGTTGAACCTATTGGACAGTCCTTTGAATCGAGCAGGTCAGCTGCTGGTATTTTTCCGAACAAATAAAAACGTACTAGTGCGTGTGAG